ATCATCATAATCAGAATCCGTTGTTGTTGCTGTCGCTGTTGTTGTTGTTGGATAATTATAATCATCATCATCATCATCATCATAATAATCGTCATAATCGTCATCATCATCATCAGAATTTGCTGTTGTTGTTGAAGGGGTTGAAGCAATCTGTTTTGTTGTTGTCGCTATGGTTGTGGTTACATATTGGCCACCGATTTTGTCCTTTTCAATAAAAAAAAGTAAGGCCAATTGAATGGCCATCAAAATTGCCAATATTAAAACGATTTTTTGTTTGCGTTTCATTTTTGGGTAGCGTTAAAGTTGTAAATATTTCGTATAGTTTTAGAAAGATTCGATAAACACTTTGATAAATATTTACCAGACTATCGATATTTATACAGTTTTTTTTTGACATAATTAATAATAATGTTAATTTTATTAATTATTTTACATTATTAAATTAAAGTTTTCTGATTTTATAATTGTTTTTTGATTGTAATTGCTTGTTTTTTTTTATAAAAATTTTATTTTGTCCTTCAAAATTTTGAATCAAATTTTTTTTTTGTAAATAATATAGGAATCCAATAAAAATTGCCGCCAAAATTACTAATGATATTTGAAACATACCACATGAAAATGGTTTATCAGGGGTTAAACAGATTCAACAGATTTGACAAACAAATTAAAATTCATTCTATGACTACAAAGAAACTATGCATGACACCATAATCAAATTAGTCAAAAGTTTGAACACTTCCCTTTTCGATTTAATAGTTTTGTTAACCGCCACTTGTAGACAAATTCTTTTGGTCAGAATATGTCGGCGATTTGTTCGTCTGTGGAAATCCACTTGATAATGATATTACGTTTTTTATAAAGATATTCAACTAAACATAACAAAACATATTTGTAATTTTATTCAATAATTTTTTTTTAAACAACAGAATTTTAACAAACAATATTTTTTTCCAAAATTTTCAGATCCATTTCAATTGATGGACAATTCCGATCGAATGTCTATATCGCATTCATTTGGGAAATGTTTGTAGTAAATTAGGCAAAGGTTGACAATACCTTTGATTTGAGGATAGAGTGAATTAAATTCCCTTTGTGCACAATTGAAGTTTAAGTGGAGATAAACTTTTCTAAACGTGCAGCATTCTATATTCAAATTTTTTGCCAATGACTCGATGTCGTGTTCATCGATTAATTTTAAATCATATTTTTTACGTATTATATGATTTAGTTCATCCAGTTTGAATTTATATTCAAGACATTTCTGTTTTTTCCTGTTTTCCATTTCTATTATCAATTTTGACGTTATAGGCCAATTACTTTCAACCAATTCTTCATTATCATAATCATCATAGTCTTCATCATCATCATTTTCATCATAATCATTATCTTCTGTTGTTGTTGCTGTTGTTATTGGCCGATCATCTTCCTTTTCGTCGTCATCATCATCATAATCATCATTTTCATCAGAATCGGTTGTTGTTGTTGTTGAAACAGTCGATGTAAACTGTTTTGTTGTTTCGGTTGTAGTTAAATAATGACCACCAATTTTATCTTTTTCAATAAACAAGAGAAAAATCAATTGGATGGCCATCAAAATGGCCAATATTAATACAATTTTTTGTTTACGTGTGAGTTTCATTATTGTGGATTGTTAAATTGTTGGTTGTTGTTGTTATGGTTGGGGAGAGTTTTAAGAGATTCAATAGATTTTTCTGGTAACGCCGTGCCTAACTTTTTACCCACAGTAAACTAACGGTATTTATACAGTTTTTTTCAGTGTTCATAATTATTTTGTTTATTTTATTAATTATTTTACATTATTAAAAATTGTTCTTCTGATATTTTGGAATTATTTTGATTTTTAATAAAATTATTTTATTTTTTATTTGAACAACATTAAAAGATATAAACAAATGACTTGGTCTTTGACAAATAGAACATGATTACTAAATGTTCAACCATTTTTGATTCAGAAAAAAAAATTGAAAAATATTTCAAACGTATTATTTTTCATTTGTATTTTGCAAAAGTATATTGGATATACAGGGCGTTTGATAAGTCCCTGNGTTGTTGTTGTTGTTGTTGTTGTTGTCGTTGTTGTTCCAACTGTATTCAGTCCAAGTGAAGGATATTGGCCTTTAATTTGATGTTTCTCAATGTAGTAAAGCAAAGCCAATTGAATGGCTATCAATATGGCTAAAATCAAAACAATCTTTTGCTTAAGTTTCATTTTGAATGTTGTTCTTGTTGTTGTTAATGTTGATATCAGGAGCGTAAACGAAAAAGATAACTTATGATTCTATATATCTTTTAATAACTTTTTACCATAACTAAACTATCGATATTTATACAGGTTTTTTTCCTAATAAAATTTATTAATTTTTTTTAAAATTATTTAGAAGACATTGTTATATAAATGAAATTAAATGAATCTTATTTGAATTATAATTAAGATTGCCAATATATTACAATAATATGAATATATTTGATTTTCATTTTTTTAATAATTAAAATTAAAAAAAAACAATTTAAATTCTTCTAAGCCAAATTTTTAACAGTACTTTTAAACTTTTAATTGATTGATGGTTTGTCGCCAATAAATGAATCAAACAATCAGACAATCGTTTTAATAAAGTTATCTACTTAATAGTTGATATACAGAAATGAAAACTAAATATGAGTAATGAAATGATGACACTGATAATGAGTTTTGAAATATTCATCAACAGTTTTAAACGAACAACATAAATTAACAATTGTTAATTAATTGACAAATAAATTAATTTTTTTTCTTAATTTTATTTTTATAGATGTTTTGTTATTTTTAATTTTAAATTTTCTTTGTTTGTCTTTTTTTTGACTAAAATTGGTTGAGCGTTTATTCATAGAAAAACATACATTTATATAGTAATAGAAATTAAGACAAAAGACAATATTCATATAGTTTAAATGATCGAGACTTTCTTTTTCTAATACTTTTTTAATTTTGTTTTTGGTTAATGTGAACAATGTTTGAAATCCTGTTGTTTGAGCACGCACGTGGCAGGAAAAAGGAAATTCAAATTATCAAAAAATATATTTTTTTATTCATAAATTCTATCATTTTATTTGTATTACTAAACATTTTACAAACAATTTACAATTTCGATTATATTTGGATTTTTCTGTTCCGGCCAAAAAAACATGTTCGACATAATATTTGATTCAAAAAAATAAATTATTTATTACCATTAGCATAATTTTGATCAATATCGACAACATTACAATCGCTAATGTTAAAAGTAGCGTGTTGTAAAAATATAGTTTATCATTATTATCATTATTATCGATAATTTTCTGATTTATCGGTAATGTTTCGATTTGTTTGATAATGATCAATATGATCACCATAATTTTGATAAAGAAAGACATTTTTTTTGTAATTTATAAATATTTTTAAGCAGATGGGCAGATACAGATGTTGATTTATCGTAGAGTTTTATTTTTTCGTTAAAAAAAATTTCAAAGATTCGATAAATAATAATTTTTAAAAATTTGCTTAATTTTTTCGATTTATATACCGTTTTTTTTTGTTTATTAAATAATTACAATTACAAATATAATTTTATAATAAAAAAAATTACATTCGAAGCGACTATTATTATCCATAATTGTCCACTGTGTCTTAATTGTTTTCGACTAAACAACGATTTTTAATTTTTATCTTTTAATTCTTACATTCATTATTGATATTATTATCAATAATGAATTGAATTTTATTACTGCTCCTTATTGGAGTTGCTCTTCACACACAGTAGATAATAATTACACTGAAAAAATCGAGGATAATTCAAAAAAAAAAAATCTCAAAACACACGAACCAAATGGCCAAGATCCTTTTTTTTCATTGAGAAAATTTTCTCCATTTCATTTCTTTTCTTTTCTCTGACCATCACCAAAATATGATGGGGACCGTATTTTTTTATGATTTTTCTGGCTACACTCACTACATGAATTAGGTTAACGCACTTGTTTTTCATTATCAGCATAGCATTGTCGAACAAAAAANAAAAAAAAATCTAAAAACACGAACCAAATGGCCAAGATCCTTTTTTCATTGAGAAAATTTTCTTCATTTCTTTTCTCTGGTCATTACCAAAATATGGTGGGGACCGTATTTTTTTATGATTTTTCTGGCTACACTCACTACATGAATTAGGTTAACGCACTTGTTTTTCATTATCAGCATAGCATTGTCGAACAAAAAAAACCTTGCCAGAGACAAATGCTTGGGACCGGAAAACGTTTGAATGAGAGAGTGACATATTACAGTCCTCCATTTAATATTGAGAAGATATTGTTGTAGTTGTTTCTCACACACTGAAAAAAATGGGAGAAAATAAACACTACCACTAAGTTTTTNCCGGGATGAGGGAAATTATCATTGATGATAGAGATGAATTCAGAAATTTTTTTTTAGTTTTTTTTGATAAGAATGGACACTATATTCATTAATTGTACCTCTTTTTTTCTGAACAACAATCTTTTTTTTGGGAAAAAAAATAGTCAAAAGTGACAATCAAAAATGAATCTTTTAAGCCAGAATTTTTGCCCTTTTTTCTATTTGATTGCGTATACCGTACGTCGCATGTTGAACAAAAAATAAAATATGCCTGCATTTAATTTAATTTAATTTAATTTAATGAAACAATTTCGGCACGAAGTCCTAGGACTCTTGTACCAATAAATAATGATAAAAATAAAAATAATGAAATAGGTTAACTGTTTTATTAATTTTTAATAATAATGTTAATTTTATTAATTATTTTACATTATTAAATTAAAATCTTGATTTTTTTTATAATTTATTTTTTATTTGAAAGTATTGGTTTCTTTTCGTATAATTCTATCTTGTTCATGATAATTTTGTTTATAATTTTTGTTTTTGTTTTGTCAATAATAAAGGAATCCGGAATCAAAAGCGTTTTATCAACAGTTTTAAACGAACAAAAAAAAAATAGAGACTTTATTAACTGCTCCTGATCGGAGTTGCTTCGAACACAGTGAATACATATTTAAAAAAGAGAAAAAAAAAATAATAATGATAATAATAATAAATAAAATAAAATACAAATATAAATATAATCAACAAAAACAATCAACCGTACAGGTGATTGTGAAGAAAGAAAATTATCAAATATTAAAAAGAATTACAAGCTACGAAAAATCATATAAACAAAATTAATAAAAAATGAATTAATGATTGATCAAGATTTCGACAGAAAATCGATTTAAATAGCCGTTAAACCGACCATGACCAGTTAAAAATTGAGATAAAACAAAAAAAAAGTACAATAGATCAATTCAATATCTATGATAAACTGATGAGAAAAAAAATCTGATCACAGATCCATTGTTGTTATTAAATGGAACAGTTGTTGTTGTATTTTGTTTTTTTTCTGTACTGTTTTGTACAGATTTTACTGTTGATATTAATTTTGTTATTGGTTCCGTTATGATTATTCGTTTTGGTAGCCATTGTTGATAATACTTTTTGTAATTCTTTTCGATAATTTTCTTCCCTATAATCTCACAATAATACAGCAATGCCAATTGAATGGCTATCAAAATTGCTAAAATTACAACAATTTTTTGTTTAAGTTTCATTTTAATATTGCTGTTGTTGATGTTGATGTTGATATATCGGAGAGTGAAAGAAAAAGATAACAAATGATTCAATAGATATCTTTTAATAACTTTTTACCATAGTTAAACTATCGATATTTATACAGGTTTAAATTTTCCTAATAAAATTTATTAATTTTTTTTTGAAATTATTTAGAAGACATTGTTTTATAAATGAAATTAAAAGAATCCTATTTGAATTATAATTAAGATTGTCAATATATTACAATAATATGAATATATTTGATTTTCCATTTTTAATGATTATAATTAAAAAAAAAATCAATTTAAATTCTTTTAAACCAAATTTTTAACAGTATGAACTTATGAACTTTCAATTGATTGATGGTTTGTCGCCAATTGGAAAATTTTTATAATAAAATTGCACAAATATTGTACAATTTCTTTGATTTGTTGATTAAAGTGAATAATTAAATTCACTTGATGCACAATTAAAGTTTAAATGAAGATAAACTTTTCTCAACGTGCAGCATTCTATTTTCAAATTTTCGGCCAATGATTCGATGTCATGTTCGTCGATCAATTTCAAATCATATTTTTATCTTGATGATTTTTGGCCCAATAACTTTCGATATTTTCTTGCTTCATACTCAATAATCATTAGTTGATGGAAAACCGACAGTCAAAGTAATTTTTGGTAATACTTTCATTTGTTAAACTTTATTATAAAAATGTGTACGACGACGATGTGTGTGTGTGTGTGTACATGTGAACAATGTGGCTTTCAAGCTGGTTTGAAATCCTGTTGTTTGAGCGCACGTGGCAGGGAAAAAGGAAATTCAAATTATCGAAAAATATATTTTTTTATTCATAAATTCTATCATTTTATTTGTATTACTAAACATTGTAAGTAATTTTTTTTATAAAGAATATATTCATTTAAACAATTTACAATTCCGACCAAAAAACATGTTCAAGCATAAAATTTGATTCAATTCATTATCATCATTGTTTAATATGTGTTTGATTAGTTATCGAAAAATAAATTATTTATTACCATTAGCATAAGCTTGATCAATATCGATAACATTACAATCGCTAATGTTAAAAGTAATGTATTGTAAAAATAAAGTCTGTCATTATTATTATCATCATAATCGATTATTTTATTTATTGGTAATGTTTCGAATTGTTTGATGATGATCAATATGATCAACATAATTTTAATAACGAATGACATTTTGAGTAGAGTTTTATTTTTTCGTTAAGAAAAAATTTGAAAGATTCAATAAATAAATTTCAAAAATCTGCTTAATTTTTATCGATTTATATACAGTTGTTTTTTTTGTTTATTGAATAATTTTTTTTTTATTGAATAATTACAATTACAAATTGTAATTTTACAAATAATTTTTTGCTGAAGTAAATCAAATTAATTTTTAATTTTTTCTTTTGTTTCAAAAATAAAAGACACTATTCCAGATCAGAGCTTTTGAGCAATGGTGCAGGCTACCGGTCAAAGGTGCCGGAGTCATATTATTCAAAGATTAGCCATGGCTGTTCAACAAAGGTGTTGGTAAATAAATGATCAAACAAGTAGAAAATAAAAACAACTTAAATTTATTTTATTAAAATCAAACTTCAACACTACACCATCATCACATGTATTTTTCAATATTTCATTCAAACATTTATAATCGATATCGATATGTTCCAAACAATTGACACATAGGCTATATTTTGTACTTTGAAACGATAAAGAACCGATTGATTTTCTAATAATATCTTCTTCCACCAGTGGTTCATAATTATCGTCAATATGATCAAATAT